GATCATATCTGCATGAGTCTGACATTGGTGACATTTTTGAACATAGCGTATACAGTCTGTCTCCATAGTTAGCCAGAAATACCCCGATCTCAAGATCTTCTTTGCCAATGTAAAACCATTCATATGAGGACCACATGTTCCTGCATGTATCTCTTCAATCAACCTATTGGCTTCTCCAGCTTCGACGCACCTTAGCAACCCCAAATCGGGAGTCCTCCTATAAAGGATTTCTCCGCTTAGAAAGAATTGATTTGCTAACCTCCGAATTGTACGCTTTTGCACACTTGTTGCATCCTCTGTATACTCACCGCTCTTCAAAAATCTTCTAATGTCATCGTACCAAGGCTTTCCATCAGGCTCTTCTTCAACATGAAAGCAGTATGCTGGTTGCTCGTATATGTGGATGTAAATAGGATCAATGTAATTATGATCAGGATGTTGAATCATGGAAGACAAAATGGCTAAGGCATCTGCGAATTCATTCTGGATCTTTGGCACATGTTTGAATTCTGCCTTGATGAACCTTTTGCACAACCTGTGCACGCACTCCAAGTATGGTAACAACTTCCGATTCTTGGTAGCCCATTCACCTCGAACCTGATGAATCAATAGGTCTGAATCTCCTATTATCAGCATTTCCTGGACATCCAAGTCAATAGCGCGTCGGAGCCCTAATATGCAAGCTTCATATTCAGCCATATTGTTTGAGCAAAGGAACCTGAGTTTGGCTGATACCGGATAATGTTGCCCAGTTGTTGAGATCAAAACAGCTCTGATGCCGGATTCGCTCAAATTCTTGGCTCCATCAAAGAACATTCTCCATCCATCATATTCTTCAGAAATGTCTTCCCCTACAAAAGCTACTTCTTCATCTGGAAAGTAGGTCTTCAACGGTCTGTAATCATCATCTACAGGATTCTCTGCCATATGATGTGCTAATGCCTGTGCTTTTACTGCCTTTTGTGTAACGTATACTATGTCAAACTCACTTAGTAATATCTGCCATTTAGCCAATTTACCAGTAGGCATGGGCTTTTGAAAGATGTACTTCAGAGGATCCGTCCTTGAAATCAGGTAAGTGGTGTGCGAGGAGAGGTAGTGTCGCAGCTTCTGGGCGACCCAAGTTAAAGCACAACAAGTACGCTCCAATAGAGAATATCGAGCCTCATATGATGTAAACTTCTTGCTCATGTAATATATTGCCTGCTCCCTCTTTCCAGTCTCATCATGTTGTCCCAAAATGCAGCTGAAAGCATTATCCAACACTGATATGTATAACAACAGTGGTCTACCAGATTCTGGTGGAACCAAAACAGGTGGATTGGACAAGTACTCTTTGATCTTGTCAAAAGCTTGTTGACATTCGTCTGTCCATTTCACCGCAGCATCCTTCTTCAACAGCTTGAAGATAGGCTCACAGATGACAGTAGATTGGGCTATGAAACGACTGATGTAATTGAGTCGTCCCAAGAAACTCATTACCTCCTTCTTACTCTTCGGCGGCGGTAAATCACGAATGGCTTTGATTTTTGATGGATCCAATTCTATGCCCCGGCGGCTGACAATGAAACCCAGAAGCTTTCCAGCAAGAACCCCAAAGACACATTTTGCAGGATTCAACTTCAAGTTGTACTTGCGTAGTCTGGCAAAGAACTTTCGAAGATCATCCAGATGATTTGAACCCTTCTTTGATTTGATGATGACATCATCCACGTAAACTTCAATTTCCTTGTGGATCATGTCGTGAAACAAGGTGGTCATTGCCCTCATGTATGTAGCCCCAGCATTCTTTAATCCGAAAGGCATTACCTTGTAGTTGTAAACGCCCCACGGTGTGATGAATGCAGTCTTCTCAGCATCGTCCTTGTGCATCTCAATTTGATGATATCCGGCAAAGCAATCCACGAACGATTGTGTTTCATGCTTAGCACAGTTATCAATCAAGATGTGTATGTTGGGCAATGGAAAATTATCTTTGGGACTAGCTTTGTTGAGATCCCGATAATCCACACAAACTCTAACCTTTCCGTCTTTCTTGGGCACTGGAACAACATTTGCAAGCCAGGTCGGGTACTCCGTCACTTGAAGGATTCCAGCATCTAATTGTTTTGATATTTCTTCCTTGATTTTCAAACTTAACTCAGGCTTGTATTTTCTCAGCTTCTGCTTCACAGGAGGACATGCTGGATCAGTGGGCAATCGATGAGCTACGATTGAAGTGCTTAACCCTGTCATGTCTGCATAGGACCAGGCGAAGATATCCTTATTCTCCATGAGACACTCTATATACTCTTTCTTGTCATCTTCTGCCATATGGATGCTTACTCGGGTCTCTTGTGCCACTTCTGAATTTCCCAAATTTACCACCTCCGTTTCCACTAGATTCGGGTTGGGCTTTTCCTCGAATTCCTCAACCTTTCTGATTAACTCTTCAGGGACCTCACTTTCTTCGACTTCCTCTAAGTCATTAATGTTAAGATGTTCAGTCTCATTATATGCCATAGTCTCAGATTCAACATTTTTATAATAGATTTTGCTGGAAAAAGAATAACGCACAAATAAATATAAGATATTAAATAGATGGGAAGATAACTTTATTGATTAAAACTCAAGAGCTTCATAAAACTAGTATTTGAAAACAATAACATAGAATTGAAATTTAAAAATGTTTATTGAAAACTTTAAAATTTGATAGAAAAATCTTCCACAGCTACCCAGATGCCCGGCGAGGTCTGGATGGAGTTGAGGTCCAAATGCTGATGTTGATCCCTGCTTCATTGCTTCCTCTAGGGTCCCCTTTCTCCTCCTCGTTGATCACGACATTGCAACCCTTTCTTTCCTCCTTGGTCAGAGATAAACCATTTATGTCTTCCAAAAGGTCACCAAAGATACGTCCCATGAAGCCTGCTGATCGGAATGATTGGTGCAACGGTGGTATCGGTTTCTTCAATGGATAGTAGTAGCCATCTCTAGGTGGTTGCCAATCAAGCCACTCCTCAGTAGTATATTTATATCCTAGGCCAAAAGTGGTTGAATGACGAACAGGTTGTATAGGTTTAACTATTCCTTGCAAATTAGCTCCCAATCCTTTCCCAAGCTCGAAACCAAACCAGGCCATCATATCTATGATCTTCTGACTGAACCACGGTTGCATTTCAATGTTGCCAACAAGCTCAACTGTATGATACATCTCACCGTCTAGACGACCCCTTCCTTCTATAGCATATACGGGATGACCTTTTCCCCATGAACTATAACTTCTTCATGGTCCCATTCAAACTTCAAACATTGATGAAGAGTAGAAGGAACCGCTCCAGCCATATGAATCCAAGGACGACCCAATAAAAGATTATATGAAGATGGAATATCCAAGACCTGGAAAGCTATTGGGAAAGTAGCAGGACCAATAAGCACGTCCAAAGTTATTTCTCCAATGGTACCTCTCTGAGAACCATCAAAAGCTCTCACATTCATCTTCCAGGTTTGAATCTTTGCACTATCCACGCCTAGCCTCGTCAACGTGCTCAGCGGGCAGATATTCAAACCTGAACCTGAATCAACTAAGGCTTTGGTGATTATTTTGTCCTGATATTGAGCTGAAATGTACAAAGCCTTATTATGGGCTGTTCCTTCAATTGGCAACTCATCTTCATGGAAAGATATTCGGTATGCCTCAAAAACCTGCCCGACCATTTGGGCTACCTCTCCTTGAGTGATGTTAGATGGGACATAGGCTTCACCCAGGACCTTCAATAGAGCATTTCGATGAGTTTCGGAAGATTGCAGCAATGATAGAATGGATATTTGCGACTGGGTTTTACTCAATTGTTCAACAATAGAGTACTCTTTTGCTTTCACCTTCTTCCAAATTCCTTGATTTTCAACTTCTACAATTGATGCTTTAGACTTGCTGGAGCTACCCTGAACCAAACTTTCAGAAGTGTAAATTCTTCCAGATCTAGTCACTCTTGCTGCAGTGTCTGCTTCTTCCACTTTCGTCTTTCCATAATCCCATGGGACAGCATGGGTATCCGCTTACTCGGGTCTCTTGTGCCACTTCTGAATTTCCCAAATTTACCACCTCCGTTTTTACTAGATTCGGGTTGGGCTTTTCCTCGAATTCCTCAACCTTTCTGATTAACTCTTCAGGGACCTCACTTTCTTCGACTTCCTCTAAGTCATTAATGTTAAGATGTTCAGTCTCATTATATGCCATAGTCTCAGATTCAACATTTTTATAATAGATTTTGCTGGAAAAAGAATAACGCACAAATAAATATAAGATATTAAATAGATGGGAAGATAACTTTATTGATTAAAACTCAAGAGCTTCATAAAACTAGTATTTGAAAACAATAACATAGAATTGAAATTTAAAAATGTTTATTGAAACTTAAAATTTGATAGAAAAATCTTCCACAGCTACCCAGATGCCCGGCGAGGTCTGGATGGAGTTGAGGTCCAAATGCTGATGTTGATCCCTGCTTCATTGCTTCCTCTAGGGTCCCCTTTCTCCTCCTCGTTGATCACGACATTGCAACCCTTTCTCTTCCTGGTCAGAGATAAAACCTTCATGTCTTCCAGAAGCTTATCAATGATACCTCTCATGAAACCTGTTGATCGGAATGATTGGTGCAGCGATGGTATCGGTTTCTTCAATGGATAGTAGTACCCATCTCTAGGTGGTTGCCAATCAAGCCACTCATCAGTAGTATATTTATATCCCAGGCCAAAAGTAGTTGAATGACGAACAGGTTGTATAGGTTCAACTATTCCTTGCAAATTGGCTCCCAAACCTTTCCCAAGCTCGAAACCAAACCAGGCCATCATATCTATGATCTTCTGACTGAACCACGGTTGCATTTCAATGTTGCCAACAAGCTCAACTGTATGATACATCTCACCGTCTAGACGACCCCTTCCTTCTATAGCATATACGGGATGACCCTTTTCCCCATGAACTATAACTTCTTCATGGTCCCATTCAAACTTCAAACATTGATGAAGAGTAGAAGGAACCGCTCCAGCCATATGAATCCAAGGACGACCCAGCAATAGGTTGTATGATGATGGAATATCCAAAACCTGGAAAGCTATTGGGAAAGTAGCAGGACCAATGAGCATGTCTAAGGTTATTTCCCCAATAGTTCCCCTCTGAGAGCCATCAAATGCTCTCACATTCATCTTCCAAGTTTGGATCTTTGCACTATCCACACCTAACCTTGTCAACGTGCTCAGAGGGCAAATATTCAAACCAGAACCAGAATCGACCAAAGCTTTGGTGATGACTTTGTCCTGATATTGAGTTGAAATGTACAAAGCCTTGTTGTGGGTTGTTCCTTCAATTGGCAACTCGTCTTCGTGGAAAGATATTCGGTATGCCTCAAAAACCTGCCCGACCATTTGGGCTACCTCTCCTTGAGTGATGCTAGATGGGACATAGGCTTCACCCAGGACCTTCAATAGAGCATTTCGATGAGTTTCAGAAGATTGTAGCAATGATAGGATGGATATTTGAGACTGGGTTTTACTCAATTGCTCAACAATAGAGTACTCTTTTGCTTGCACCTTCTTCCAAATTCCTTGATTTTCAAGTTCTACAATTGGTGCCTTGGACTTGCTGGAGCTACCTTGAACCAAACTTTCGGAAGTGTAAATTCTTCCAGATCTAGTCACTCCTACTGCAGTGTCTGTTTCTTCCACTTTCGTCTTTCCTTTTCCATAATCCCATGGGACAGCATGTGTATCAAATTGGGGAGAAGGATGAGCTCTGAGGACGCTGAATGGGGGCTTGGGCGGGGCAACCTCAACCTCAAACGGAGCACGTCTTTGCACTACCATTGGAGTCCGGGCGGTAGCAGTCATTGCTTCTTCTGGCTCAAGTACCCAAATAGATTTCTCCCAATCCGAGGTATCCTCGACTTCTACCATGTTGACCTGATGGTTAGGTAGAGGGTTATTTGCAACATTTGGCGTCGGATCTTTGAGTTGGATGGCCTTAGTATCTATCAACATTTGAACCTTATCTTTCAAGGCTCTGCAGACTTCGGTAGTGTGACCTTTCATCCCAGAATGGTAGGCACAAACCTTGTTAGGGTCATCCATTTTGCGTCGGACATCCACAGGCAATGCAGGAACTGGGGTGACATAGCCAGCCTCTTTCAGTCTCTCATAAAGCTGGGCTATGGGCTCGGCTAGAGGGGTATAGTTCTTCGCAGGTCTTCTTTCATACGGTGGTCTGTTTCGGTAGTTTGGTGTTTGAGTAGGTGGTGGGGTTTGGAAATATGCTGGCTGGGCATTATAGACGGGGTATGAAGCTTGCTGATATTGAGGAGGGGCATTTTGGTAATATGCTGGCATGGGGTTGGGAGATATATGTGGTGGAGCTGAAGGATATGGAGTTTGGGTATATGGGGATGGAGGTGGGGTTATTGATTGGTATTTATAAGGGGTTCTGCTCCCCTGAGCCATCATGACTGAGCCTGTTTTCTTTCGATTTTCTGTCATTCCTCCGGATTGCAGAGCTTTGTTGGTGGCTTGCAAGGCCTCCAGATTGATGATAGTCCCATTTTTTATGCCCTCTTCGATCCTTTCACCTAGCTTGATAATTTCAGCAAAACTTTTCTCAGCTACAAGCATCATCCTATCATAATATTGTGGTTCTTGAGCACGGATGAAGTAGTCTTTCATCTGAGATTCTTCCATGGGAGGTCTGGCCCTGGCCGCCTCAGACCTCCATCTTATCGCATAATCTCTGAAAGATTCACTGGGCTTTTTCTTCAGGTTTTGGATGTAGAACCAATCAGGTGCATTTTCTACATTAAATCCAAACCGGTTCATGAAGTCTGTTGCCATGTCTACCCACTCATCCCATTTCCGCGGGTCTTGTTCAATATACCAAGATAGTGCCTCTCCGGTGAGACTCCTCATAAACAACTTCATAAGTACCCTCTCGTCTCTCCCAACCCCCACAAGCTTGTCACAGTACATTCGCAAGTGGGCTTTGGGATCTCCAATGCCATTAAACAGTTCAAACTTTGGAAGCTTGTATCCTTCAGGTAGATCTATGTCGGGATGCATACACAAATCCTCGTAGCTCAGTCCTCCCAACCTCTTGCTTCCCTCCACATGTTGCATCCTGTTAGTCAAGTTATCTAATCTCTCGGTCAGGGTTTTTATCAGAATATCCTTTTGGGAGGACTCTGATTCATGGTAGTTATGAGTCACAGGAGCGGTTTCCACATATATGGGGTTCAGGTTGTTATTTCCAGGAGTATATGAAGGATTTGCATTTGGAATTGGTTCTGGAATAGTTGGCTTAGTTTGTTGGTGGTAGTGGTAAAATGGGACTTGGGTATTTTGGGTATGAAGTGGTGGGAAAATATTTGGATGAGTGGGTTCAGGTCGGGATACATTGGTTGGAGGATTGTTTGGCATGGTTGTTTGGTTGGAGTGAGGAGGATTGTCTATATTTTCGCCAAACTGGGTTCCGAGAGAAATAGACAACTTGGCCAAATCGCGCATGTGCGCTACTTCTTCTTCCAAACCTAAAATTTTGCGCTCAAGTCTAAGGACGAGGTCACTTGGAAGTTGCCCTCCCTCAGAAGTTTCTACTCTTTCGTTGCTGCTGTTGTCGTCAACCATTTTACCCTTGTCTGTTCTTTGAGGAGGAGGAGAAGGGGGGGTCCCTTTTGATCGTGTATGTGCCAGAATGAAGAGCAGATCAACCTTAGGAATGGGGAAAACAATGTAATCAACAGAAAACAGTGTTAGGGGATTAGAGCAAATAATAATAATAATAGCACATTGTTTGAAATAAACGCCCTAGATGCAAGGGACCTCGTTGAGCCAGAGGTAGGCCTAAGACGCCATATAAGTGATGCATAATGATTAATTCAAGCCTTATTTGCCAAATGGAGTCTAGAGTTAGAGAAATAAAACGATCTTTATATATTGAATAACTTCAATTTATTACATCATACTAAAGCAAAACTAGAAATAAACTAAAGGGCTAGGGATAACATGGGGAAATTAAAATCCTAAAAGAAACAGGGTCAGTGCTGGTCTCCAATGTTAGGCACAATTTGCTGCCTCATTTCTGGAGTGATCTCATAGTCGCGATTGAGAAGGTTGCGGGCCCATCTTCTTTCCTTTTCATCACCAAAACCTGGAATGCCTTCTTTGCTCAAATCTACATGCTCTGCGTCCTCCAAAAGCCACACGTAATACTCTGGTGTGCAGAAGGGTTTGTGCTCTCGAACTTCAATAGTTATCACTTTTTCCCACCTTCGCAGTATAGTGCCCACTTGTGGTATTTCTGGCCCAAAATCATACTCATATTGGCCCATATGGGATCGTAGAGGTATCATTTGGATTTGACCAAACTGTCGGAGGACTCGGAGTGGTGCGTATGGTTGCATGCCATTTAAACCAATGAGCTCGATAAAGTAGAGGTCATTACCTCTTATAATGACACGACGAGGCTTCAACCAATAGTATTTCCATTGAATGTTGATGGCTGAACGTTCTCTCAAATAAACAAACCAGTCCTCTGTTCCCACAGGGGAATCAAAATATTTCATCCTTGAGGTATGATTGATGATTTTATTTCCCATAGTCCCTCTAAGAATGTCTACCGAATTTGTCCTTTGATAGAAATGCTCAACAGCCCAGAGTTGTAGTAGAAAATTACACCCCTCGAAGTACCTTTTGCCTTTGATACATTTGGTGAGTGCCCTTATAATTTCTGCCAGTATCATGGGAACTATAGTCCTTCCGCCTCGAGCCATCATACGAACCACATAACTTAGGCTAGTGTGTATTTTTCCTCCTTCTCTAGGAAAAACTAATGAGCCCAACAGTGCGACAGCGAAAGCATTAAGACGGTATCTTTCCCACTTTGCAGGAGAGCAAGCAAATTCTTTATGGAAGTTTTCATGGCCTTCCTCGTCTCCAAAACGTGAATATAGAAACTCTAAAGAAATCCATCCCTCTTTCAGACAAAGCAAATTCGGATTATGATGCATGCCCATTTGCTTTAGGAAGGACCTTGGAGATGGCTTGTGTGGCACAATCATTTCACGATCTCTGTAAGGGAGACCAAGAAACCCACCAATCTCTTCAATCGTCGGGGTTAGCTCAAAATCCCTGAATTTGAACACTAGCCTCTCAGAATCCCAAAACTTCAACAGTGCCTTGATCAAGTGCCGGTCTGACTCGACGGAGATTAAAGCAGTAAGGCCACCTAGTAGTTCGTTTGCTTCCAACTCTCGATTCCTTTCAATATCCTTCCACCAGACCTTCAAAGTAGGATTCACTTTGACTACCATTTGCGTGCTTGGAAAATTAGGAAATGCCATGACTCTGCAAACAGACAACAAACAAAAAAAATCTAAACTCCATATTGGCAAACTTGGCTTAATTTAATTATTATGACCACATTGACACATAATTATGCAATTTGTCTAAAGGGTGTTGGGGCCCTTTAGACGATAAGGTGGCTACTGATCATGCAGATTGACACCAAGGGTCAAACCGCCTAGGGTTTATGCAACATGTATGACCTAATCAAGATTTCTAAGAATTGGTTTGACACGATCTTGAAAGGGATTCTATGCGAGAAGGCTCGTGGTTTCACGGTAGTAGAACTATCCGTTACGTCCACGCATATGCCGACTCTCTATAATTGGGTGTTTGAAGAAAATTGGAGTAGTTGTGAGAGGTGCAAAGGCACAACATCACGGTAACAAAATAAAAAAAGGAAGAGGGTCCCAATTGGGGGAAGTATGAGCGGAATGTCAGTTATCAAAGCAGTAACATTTAGCACTTAGGTGAAAAGCAATAACACATAGGCAGTTTTATGGAAGCGATAAATAAGTAAATAAATATACGCATAAAATAAAAGGAGGTAAACATATAAAACAATAGAGAATCAAGCAAATAAGGAAAGTGGGTATGAGATAATGCAAACAAGTGAACAAATAAGGGAAAAGGGAAAGGGCGAAACATGGAAATAAACAAATAAGGAAGAAGGGAAAGGGGTGGAACATGAAAATAAATAAATAAGTAAGGAAAAGGGAAAATGGTGAAACATGGAAAATAGATAATAAACAAGCAAAACTAATAACAACTTAACATGCTACTAATCAAACAGACAATGAAATAACCAAGTAAACCCACATAAAGCATGAAACACGTAATGGTTAGAACCTAATATCCCCAGCGGAGTCGCCATTCTGTCGCGCCCCGTTTTTCTCAAAACGGACTTTCCTTTCGGGATGCACGACCTAACAACTCTTTTGGGCTTTGGAGGATTGAAGAGTCGCCACCTAACGAATTAAGGCGCGTTAGGGCACCTATCTAGTCTAACTAAAGTCAACGAACCAGAGATCAGGGTAAGGGTTCAAATTACCTCAAGGGGAAGGTGTTAGGCATCCCTCGAGGTCCACAAATGTGGGTCCCGGCCGCGTCTCATGCAATATGTGGGGGTTACAGGTAGCAATTAAGGTCACTTCATTATTTATTTAATTAACATGATTGCTAAGTGATAACTAATATTAAATAATTAAGATCAATTTAATTGTTATTTAATTAATTAAGCATGCGAAAACTAGGTGATAACAATATTAAGCAATTAAAAGCACTTTAGTTATTTTAGTTAATTAGATAGGCATGCGAGACTAAGTGATAATATAATAAATAAATATTACACAATAAATACAAAGATGAGCGAGGGGATAGAAATTTGCACAATTAGATAGAATAAACACTTTTATTTTTTATTAAACTACCCCAAATAATTATAACAGGTAAAGGGAGAAAAGGAAAGGGAGACTCTGAAGGACTTTAGGATCAGCACTCGACTTTCTTTATTTCGGTCGGTTTCTCGTAGGGACAGACAAAACCAAAGTTTGTCATTAAGACCGAGTCGATGTCATCATCTCCATAGGGCCTAGACTATCCCTACCCCACCACCGCATGCTTTTCGTCTCTAAAAGGTGTCTAGCGTCCCCACGTAAGGTCCAAGAGGCATTGGACTGCTATTAGGGTGAATTTAGACAAAACAAAAATATAATAGGCCCACCTAGACACCAAGTCAAACAATTTGGACGAGCATTTAGCATGTAGGGTCTCATATTGGCCTCTAGATTTTAATTTAAACATGCTAGCGAACACATATAAAGTGAAATGTGTCATGCGAGTGTGTGCAAATATAAAGACAGGCAACAAGCAACACAACAATATAACAGTTAATTAATGAAGGGCAGATAACTATGACATAAGGCAGATTTTAGTTGCAAACTGATTTAAACAGTGGCAAGGGGTATCCCAGATACAGGAAATAATTTTTAGAGCAGTAGCAGGTCAACTTATTAATACAAATATTTATTTTAAGTAGCAATCAGTTTATAGCTGCATGAATTAATCATTGGCTGATTCTAAGTGGCAAAATTATGATGCAGAGATTAATATTTAAAGCGGAGTTGAATTAGAGTAGCAAGTAGCATATGTAATAGATTATTAGTAGCTGATTTTATCCGGGCAGATTAGTTTAGATAGAAATATATGGGCAGAAAAGCAATAGTCAATTATCAATGTTTATTCTAAATGGCCAGAAAACAATTATGCCATTGAACAGTGGCAAAATTTTAAAACAAAATGCTATTTAATTAATTAACATGCTGAAAAACGGATTTATAAACCTATATACATGATTTCTATGTAAGACATAATATATTTCAGGAACCTATAGGCATGATTTCTAGATGTAAACAAATTTATGAACACTTACGGGCATTTTATTGACATGCAAATATTTGATTCAATCCTATAGGCATGGCTTCTAAGTTAAATCACATATGTGACATATTGAGCAAATCAATTATTTATTTTACCAGTTTTATACATTTTATACAAGAAAATTGTGGTTCACCAACACGGTAACATAGATCAACTTGTAAAGGTCACACTAATTATTTATTATTACATGCTAAGATTGCATTATAACAAGTTTATTACTTATTTTAGATATAATTAGTTAACATGAAATGGTCAACATAGAACGTATTTACAACTTAAAGCAATTAAATATCGGCAAGACCATTTTATTTTAAGTAAATTTAGAGCAAGGAATGACCACACAATTAAATCACACTCCTATGAGCTTGTTCTCTAACAAGTTGTGATAATATAACAAGTAGCATGTAAACCCCTCCCCCTTTAGACGATCCCCCAAGTTATATCATATAGAGATAGTTCAAGAGTTATACAAATATTACAAATCAAAAATAAATAATAAGCGCGAATTCCAAATACATAAATTAAATAATCTTGTCTCATGGTAACTCTTCAACTTGAACTTCAAGTTCAAAACCTGTTAAACCAAAGAAAGGAATACTACGAGTACGTATAGATATAACAAAGCAAATATTATATATGAGATCGATTATATAGACAGAATCATGAAGCAAACACATAGTCATATTAAAGCACACAATGGAAATGAGATGGGATATAAAACGGACATGGGTGATACCTTTTTATTTATTTTCAAACATATAATCATGCAAATGATGCAAAATCAAATTACACTAACGAGAAGGACTAACCAATTAAGCAGAATATTTTTTATCAGCAATGAAGTA